ACATACAAACATGTTTGTAACAAGTTATAAAAAAAGCAGAGAAACCAGGTTGTGGAAGAAGAGTAAAAAAGCACATTCACAAACTACTCCTGAGTTCACTGCATTTTACATGCGCTACTGGGGTCCACCTACTCTAGGTGGACTAGAAGATAACTTTCAACAAAAATCTTAGGGCTGAAGGCATCAGTGCTCTGTCTCTGCACGGACCCTTGCTAAGCACTATGTGTACCAAGCACTGTCTAATTCACAATGAAGTCTTTTCATGCTTTTAAGCACAGTCATTTAATTCTGCTTATTTTAATGATAAACATCTAATTCCCAAGCTGACTATATTAAGTGAATGATACTTATTCAACATCTATGCTCAGAAGCAAAGGAAGGCATTTCCCTTCGAACGTCAGTGGTGGTATGCCTGAGCGGTCGGCGTGCCTGGGCTCCTCCAGCCAATAATGTGTAACAGTCATCTCTGAGACAGGCAGAACCCACATTTTCATCTCGAGGAGCTCCAGCAAAGTAAAAAGGACTCTCTGTACTTTCAAATGATGCACAAAACCAAAACCTAGAGATGGTGACACTTCTGTCATGAAAGTCATATTGACAGGTTACCTTTAAAAGAGTTAACTTATAAAGGTTTAAGAAAAATCCCCTGCATCAAGAACTTCCATCAGTTTTTTCCGTGTGTGTATTGTCTGACAGCGTTGCGTTTGGTTAGTAACACCTACCGGCTCACGCACAGAAGTGCTAACATCAAGAATTAATTTGAGGATATTTTCTGGCTGCGAGCAGCTGCAGCGCTTGATCCACCCAACATTGATCACCAGTGCTAAGCTTCAGGAAAACACCCAAGGCCAAGCTTTGCTCCAGTGCCCAAGGAGGTTTATTAGCAATCGGGGCTTGTTTCAAAGGGGGGACAGGCTCAGCAAGATGGGAGTGACTGCAGCCTCTTTGCCATCCCCAATTTGGAGCCCCTCCACACCAAGCAGTGCCACAAGAAAGAAGCTGTGGCTGGTAACACACGCGTGTGTTTCCAGGTACCCACCGCCCGAGTGGCACCGTGTGCCAGCACCGACCGGGCGCCGGGCTGGGGCTGGAATGTGTAAAGACTAAACTGTCTGAAAAAAACCCATGACCCTTACCTTTGGAAATGCCAGAGAATACAACTTTCCCTTGCCCTCCATTCCAAACACATTATTGTGGCTTCAGAAAGAAGTAACTCTTACGAGAAGTCCGTGAATCTGGAAAAGATTAGAAATTTTAAATGAAATAAGCACTGCTCTAACTGTTTTCTAATTGGTTAAAACTGACAGTAAAGGGAAAAAAAAAAGGCATTACTGCTTTTCTCTTGCTTACAAAATACAGAGTAAGTTTTATAAGCCACATATTTATCTTCTGTTGATCAGAATAATTTAATTAATAACTTAATTACTGCCTGAAAGCCAGTAAAGTAAGGCTTAATACCTCTAACAAGACATCATACTTATAGTTAGAAAACCACACAATCTGGAATTTCTTAGAAAGATGAAGGATTTGTGTCACAGAAAAACAAATGGTATAAAATCAAGGAAACTTTAAAAAGTCAGTACAATTTTTGTTGTATCTCCTTTCCAAAGAACAAACAGACACTTTATAATCTTAACGTTTTCTGCTAAAATGCAGATGGCATTCTGCCTTCAGTTACATTCGGCGCATGTAGAGTTCTACTTACAGAAAATAAAAAATGGATTTGGCAATGTCTTTGTGTAAAATGTAAGGAGGAACAAAACGGCATGTATAAAACAAAGGCAAAAGTTTATGACTTCGAATATGATGAAATTACTTCAATGATTAGGACAGATTTCCATGTTGGAAACCACTATAATCACTTTAGCTTTATTTCACTGCCTTTCTCTGCTCCTAAGACAACATTTTCCTTCTTTCTTCTCTTTTGTTGGCCTTAAATTAGAGAAGCATACCTGTTCAGGAAACATGCTTATTAGCATGCTCAACATTTCCATCTAAAATATCACTACATTAAAAAGTACAGGAACAAAGTCAACAGCCCTTTTTCACCCACTGCTTTGGGGTTGGTTTTGTTTTTTTGAGGAAAAATAGTATGTGGCTTTTTTACTCTGGAACTGATTAAGAGAAGCCTCAGACGTAAGAGATACTCAGAATTCATGGAGTTGAATTTTTCTCCAACTGCAAACCAAAATGTATGAATAATGTTGTTATTTGCAAGGCTGGTATAAATCTGGAAGAAGTCCACAAGGACTTGGTAACTGAGGAGTTTTGCCTCCTGTGTTTCTGTGACTAACTTCAGTTAAGTTATGTAGGCTCACAAAAGTACAAGGATTCTATTTTTTTTTCCTAAGAGGGAGATTTTTTTAAACATTGCACAAGCTTTTAAGATCAAAACTTTATGTTATGGTGAGCAACCTGATCTAACATCAACAGTAGCCCTGCTTTGAGCAGGGAGCTCTACGAGACTCCCTTCTGAGGTCCCTCCCAGCCTAAATTACTGCATTCTGTAATTCTATGGTTATTTAAAATGGGGGTCCATTCATGAGTGAGGCAGTTAAACACTCCAGAATAAATTAACATTACTGTTGACATTGTGCCTTGATAAGGAAAGTGATCTGAATTAGCCTTTGAGTAAAGAAATCTGTGTTTGTCATAAATCACACCGAAGATGTAATTATATAAAATACAGCAGTTTAGTACTGCTTTAGTTAGAAACACCAAGGAAGTGATAGAAGTACAAACATACTGAGGGGAGGCTGGGGGAGCAAGGCTTGCTCTGCTCTATGACGGCGACTTTGGGGGACTTAACAGGAGCCCCCAGTACCTACAAGGAAGTCATTGAGATGGCAAAGCCATCACAGTGGCGTAGTGGGAAAACAACAACATAAATGCAAATGAGAGAGGTCCAGGTAAAAGGAAAAGGTCCTTGCCTCATCGGCCAGACAATCATGGGCGCAGGTTGCCCTGAGGGGTGGGCACACTCCATCCTTGATGTTTCTCATGTGCAGGCTGGGGAAAACCCTCAACCACTGCATGTGGCCTCATCCATGACCTTAGTTGGAGCAGGAAGCTGGCCAAGTGTCCTCCTGAGGTCTGTTCTAACCTGAATTATCCCACAATCCTGTGACTCTTGGTTACTATCCCATTTTGAAAGCACCTATGGCATGTTTTGTTTAAGGACTGATCCTTTGATGTGGGAATTACTTTAAAATAACTAGGTCAGAGCATGGATTCAGACCCCACCTTGCTTTTCACAATAGCATGTGCACACAATAACACTTTTTGCCTTCACATCTGCCAGATACCCAGTCCTGCAACTATTCTGCCTATACAACGCTATGGGATGTTGTATATATTTTAACCAAAGTCAGAGACATTCTGCTATTTCAGAGTGAGCTGATGCAGTAAGTTTGTCTCTGATTTCACTTACCCTTTGTTTACCCAAGGTGGTTTTACCGAAGTCCAAAGAATGACACAAGCAGGAAACGAAAGCGATGGCAGACACACCCTCTGTGGACTTTGTTCTCCCAGTCCTACTTTCCCTCAGCTCATACGCCTCTGCTGAGCAGACGGACAGATCGTCTCTTCTGCGGCACACGATGTTTGACTGAAGCTACATGTTAGCTCGTGTCTGAAAATACAACCCAGGAATCTTACAAATAAAACTATTATTTGTTATTGATTTTAAGAGTCTTGCATTCCGGCAGGATGTGTTATCTGCCCTGGGAAAGCCCATGCTTTGAGTCACGCCCGCAGCCCCTGGCACCCCCAGAAGCCCCGCGCAGCTGCTCTTTGGCCACCGCTGAACTTTCTGCCCGGTCCCCGGGGCGGGTCCGTGCGTCCCCCCCCGCACTGCGATACCCGGGGGGCCGGTGCGGGTCCGTCCGTTCACGCCCCACCAAACCCCCCCCCGCAAAACCTGCGGGGCGCGGGGATTAACGGGGATGGGGGGGGCTATCCCCGCCCCCCGCGTCGCCATGGTGACGGCGTCCTGGCAACCGCTCCCGCAGCCCGGCCTGCGGCCGCCCCGCTCCGCGCAGCCGGAGGGCCGCCGCGCCGCCGACCGACCCGCCGACCGACCCACCGACGGACGGACGGGCGTCCCGGCCGCGGAGAGCCGGTCCCGGCGCCCGGCAAGCGGCTGCTGCGGCGGTGGCAGCGCGCTGAGAGCGGGAGCAGCCGGGATGCGGGGGAGAGAGGGGCAGCCCTGTCCTGCCCGCAGCCAGCACTGGTGAGTCTGTCCCAGCGCTGTCCCTGCGTGTTGCATGGCCATCGAGCGGTGTCTGCGCTGTCCTGTCCTGTCTGCTGTCGCCCATCCGTGTCTCCACAGCCATCGCCGCGGGTGCCCTTTCCCCTGAGGAGCGCTGTGGCCCCCGGGGACGGCCTGCGCAGCAGAGCTGTGGGCCAGCTCGGGGCACCCACACAGCCCCCAAACCCCGCAGAGCTGCACAGCCCAGCACCTGAGCTATCACACCTACTCCTCGAGAGAACCCTTGGCCTGTGCTCCAAGCCGTGCCAGCATGGTCACCCCTCTCCCACGGCCACCTCTCCCCCTGCACTCCATGTTCATCCACGCTCACAACATGTCACAGCAGCGCAGAGGGGGTCTGCGAGGGTTTGTTTTGTGTGACTCACTGACACAGTCGGGTTTTGGCCGATGTTTATGCTGAGTTGTGACACAGGGACTTTCTCACTTACTCCAAAATGTTGCCCCAAAGCGCTTCAGAGTCACACCAGGATCCTGCGGCTCCCGGGGCGGTGCTGTCACACACTCCTTGTATAGCAACCAAAGCGGTTTCTATTTTGAGAAGAAAAGAGTGATTAAAGTGTTTGCCTAGGCAGGTATTTCAGTCTGCTTTGATTCCCGTGTGACTTGTGGCAAGTCACATAGCCCCCACCAGTACCCTCCCCCGTGCTTCGCTTCCCTACATAAGGAACATAATATTTTCAGGGATAATAATGCTTTCCTAACCCACAGGCATATTGTGAGAAGGAATGTGAAAAACACTCTGAGGTGCACAGGCATTAGAGCAAGTATTAGACATAGGTTATAATGGAAGATGGAGAACTGAACACTATGGATGTGATTATCCTTCAGAACGGGAGAAATGGAGAACCTGCAGAAAATAAGCCTGCAAGGCAGCCTGCTGAAGTGGGGAAGGGATGCCTCAGTACAAAGAGCAAGGAGCGAACTTTGCATCACTAAAAGTGTTTCTTCAGCATGTCCCACGTATGATTTTTTTTTTCAAGCTTTTACATGTCTGATGTCAGTGACTTAAAGAAACGATAAAGAAGTACTCCACATTTGTATGGAAAATCTGCTTTACGTATGAAGTGAGCTGTTATTTTTGGCAATCAGGCATACCATTTGCAACTGGGAAAAATCTTTATCTCGTCCGTGTGACAAGTATATTTGGAATATTCAGTAAGTTAAATCAATCAACCAAATTTTACTGCGTTAATATATCGTGATTTAAATGGCTATAGCAGCATCAAGCAGAAGACAACATCATTTTTTAAAAAAATAATTAAGGACTCGAGGCCAGTATTTCAACTGGTATCTAAGTTGATCCCTATTTACCGCCATTAAAATCAGAGCTATGTAAAATGACATTCCTTTGAATCTAAGCATCAGAACATAGTTCTTTTTTTTCTTCTTTTCTCAATCACAGAATAACAGATTCTAGACTAGATATTAGACTAGATATCTAGACTAGATACTAGTCTATACTGGTCTTACACACACTCACAGAGAGGAAATTTGTCATTAGCTCTGTCATCTATCTGTTACTGTTTGCTGCAAATACCTCCAAACTGCAGAAAAGTTTTGTACAACTGCTGACCAAGACCTTAATGGATCCTTTGTAGATGTTGGATAAGGTCAAAAAATTTTATAATTGATGATGAGATACTTCCCTGCGTACTGAGTGATGTACTTAAGGAAGCAATAACAAATGAATGAGAAGTCCATCTGTGTAACTTTTGTTTCATGCGCTCAATTTCTCCAGACATTTGCATTTAGCTACATGGCTAATGGGAGTTTGGCAGAAAAAGTAAACACTTCAAGCAATCCTATGCTTACTCTGCTACAAACATTTTTTTCAATTAATAATAAATGGATACTGAAAGCCGTAAGACTAAAAGACTGGAGTCGAGGGGTTTTCCGGTTGGCTGGTTTTTATCAGGTATATTTCACTAAGAAGCTGCTAAATGTACAGACTTCAATATTTGTTCTTCGTTTTTCTAGGTAGCATCCAGCGCTTTGCTGCTGTGATACACATAGCTCTTCTTAAATCAGTGGGATATTCCTGTGTTTATAGTTAAATTGTGTTTAAATGCTTCACTGCATCAAGATCATTAAAAAGTGTTATGTCCCAGAAGACTAATGGTAAATGAGCTCAGACCTCCTGAGAACCAGGTGCCCGGTTACTGTATAACCACACAGCCCAGCCAGGAGGGACACCCCGCAGAGCGGTGGCATTGTCAAAAAAAAGCCAAAACAACCAACCGGGAAACTACAAGTGTGAGGAACAGATTGCAGGACTGGACATTCAGTATCTGCACAGGATTTTTGAATGCAAACTCATCATAATGACACCCAGCTCTTATACCGTGCTTTTTACTTACAGGCATGTAAGAACCTAAACAAGGAGGCAGGTATCATTATCTCTGTCTTCCATATAGCGAGATTGAGTCATTAGGCATGGAAATAACTTGCCCAAAGTCATCAGAATCAGAGATTGAGCAAAGAATTAAAATCAGACCTTCTGAATTCCACTCTAGTGTCATTGCTGCTCAGCAACCCAGCTTCTCTTAAACTATTTTTTTTTTCTAATTTGTAGTTTCTGAAGCACTGTGCTATAAATAGAACACACACACTGTGACAATGTTTGCTCTCTGCTTTTAGGCAGTGCTTTCATACATTTCTAAAGCAAAAAACATGCTTTGCATTTTCAGATCTCAGAGGATAGTCCCATCACCTCTTTATAATCGATATTTGACTATTTTGTTTCAATAACCCTATTTTTCTCTTTCTGTTTGTACAGCATATTGCACTGGATTTCATCAGCAATTGCAAAATTCTTTTCATACATCAGCCTTTAGTTTTCAGCGAGGATTTTGTGTTTCTGAGGAATTCAGACTCAGGCCATGCTCATTTTCTTTATAGTTAAAAATGTTTATTTGTTTTATATAGGGTGGAATAGTTCAATTTGATTGAGGTTACCATCTTGTTCATTAATTTAGTTTCTGTCGGACAAATCTATTGAGCCAGGTGCTGATTTCACTTATAGTAAAATATCTAAAATCTCTTTGTGAAGCTATTTAACAGAGCTTCCCTGCTGCAACGTCTGTCACAGTCTGCCTGGCTCTATATAAAAATTAAAAAGAGAATCTATATTCTTACCAGAGAAGAACTTACTTACAACATAAAGCGTGGTCATGTAGACTTGAAGACAAATTAACAGAAGACTCAGTTTTGCTAAACTATGCTGATGTCTAACACATTTTACTTCGGTTTCTTACTGCCAATGCTTTTACCTGAAAAGCATCTTACCCTGAATAATCTGCTGTCATGAAATATTTTTATTTCATTCTCTAGCCAATACTTTCTTAAGCTTTATGATAATCCTGTAGATCTTACTTTTTTATTCATTGATTGATGATGTCTGAGACCAGTAGGCAGATTGGGGACAAGAAGTTTGTTTGCCTCTGTCCTGCCAAACCAGTTCTGTGGGTCAACAGCAGATTTTAGTTTCAAGGCTGCCAACCTTGCCTTTTTCCAAGAGTATCATTTTCACTATGAAAAGCTTTTTAGCAGTTTTTAGTTTTCAATATTTTGTTCTTTTGTATTGATTTTTACTTGCATTTATTCCATAAGCAATATTTGAACTCCAAGATTAGACTTAATCTTAAACTTTACTTAAAGGTTCTCATAAAGCAGAAGCATTAAGTCATTTCAGTGCCAGATATAAACTATTAAATAATTCAATGTGTACTTTCTCAACAGACATAAATTATTGACCAGAAAATGGCCCAGCGAAGCCCAATCTTCCCAACTCTTGCCCCTTCTGAAAGGTACAGTTTGGAATGTAAAAATACAATCTTCATATTGCAGAGTATTATGTGTCTCTCAATTCTCTATATATAGTAATGCTATGACTTCGGACTTTGGCATTAGGATGCAAAGCAAAGTGAAATACTGCAGACACATTCAAATCATAGCCTAAATAATTTCCTTACTCAACTTTTACTTAACCCTTTCCCAAAGAAATTAAATAGCTTAAACTGTAACTGAGTAGAAATCCAAGAACAGCCAGTCTTCTGATAGCATGGGATAAGCGTAAAAACTCAGAGCCAGAAGTGACCTATGTTGGAGTCATACATCTCTATCAATATCATCATGGTTAAAGTAAACTGTTAATTTGGCTCGTTACCAGGAAATGACATGGAGAACACACAGTAAATAAGAGTTCCGAGAAAAAGATCTCCTGTTTCAAAGTGGGGTTGAACTTGTATTAGCAGCCTAATTTTTTTTACTTTGATCACCCATGAGCTCCACTGCTTTTTCCATGGAAGCTATGAGGGGCTGAGCTCTCTTGAAAAATCTAGACAATTATTCAAGGAACCCAAATGTTCTGGGAGGAAAATTTGACTTCTAAGACTATGAGAAGCTTGTCATAATTTTGATCTCTCCATGGTTTCTACACCTACATATGCTCCTGTCCAGTTCACGGGGGGCAAGATTCTGTCTGATATTATAAGAGAGCTGTAGAGAGTGAAAAAAAGAATGGACACAAGCTACTTTTTAATCTTGGTCTGTTTCCATTTAATTTGCAATATCTACCTTTTACAGTTACCACTTTGATTAAGCCTAAGAACTGTAGAGACAAATAGAATTACTGTTGAAACTCAGTAAAAGGGTTTTGAACTTGGATTCTTAACCAAAGTATAGTTCTGAATTGTAATTACTTTTCTAATGCTAATGTCCTTTTCTTAAGATCCTATGCTTTTGTAAGCTTCCTTAAAGAGCAGGAAAAAAAGCCCGACCTGCCTTTGTACAAGATATACGCAGTAGCCAGCACAGCACCCACTTCTTTGTAGCAGTGGGCTCGCTCTCTGCGAGTACTTTGGTGCTTCTCTCCAGTATCACTACTGAGATAGTGGAAAGACTCGAGTTTTGTGTGAGCACTTAACAATATCTGGATATTCTTCTTCAACTAGACGGGTTCGAAACATAGCACTGCACAGCCAGGCATTGACAGCGGTCCCGTTGGCATCTGCAAGCCTGGTGGATCAGCTGGAAGACAGAATCCTAAGCCATGAGAAAACAACGGCGGCTCTTGTGGAACACGCTTTTCGCATTAAGGAGGACATTGTTTCCACTCTGCACAGAATGCAGAACAAAGGGGGGGGTGACCGGTTGGCTAGGCAACTCTTGGAAGAACATATCCGAAACATAACGGCAATAGTGAGGCAGCTTAATCGGGACATTGAGGTATGTGAAGAATTTTTCACAGGACTAATGCCATCTCAGCTACTCATTCCTTCTAATTTAATAAGAAAGTTTTACCACAGGATAAGTAAAGGTCAGACAAGGTCTGAAGATCCTGTAAGCTTATAAATTGTTTTTATAACTTGAAAAACTGTTTGTGAATTACAAAATTCTTTCAGTGGCTATGAAAATAGCACAGGATATTAGCATATAAACACAGAAACCTTTGTGGTACTAATAAGCTTGCTTTCAAAGGCTGCAATGGAAAACCTTGAAAAAATGAATTAATGCGACGCTAATACCCAGCTCGACTGCAGTCCAAAGGCTGTTCTGTATAAACACCAGGAAATGCCTTAGCTCTATAATAAACTTTCCTTCACTTCCGACTGACAACATCAAGTAGACAAACCCAACCGCTCTTTTTTGTGACCTAATCGTATGCAGATACGTGCCTTCACGCCTGACCTCTGCTGCAGTGAGCAACAGGGGTGTGGTGGGAAAACGAAAGGGTAAAAATTAATATTTAAGTCTCCGTTCCTTTGTCAGGTTATATTTTATACATGTTACGGTATTTATGTGCAGATTGGACACTAAGAGATAATTAATTACCTAAAAGGTATCTGGTTTAGTACAAGACAAGACCAAGCTTTTATTGGGGGAAAACGAAAGGGTAAAAATTAATATTTAAGTCTCCGTTCCTTTGTCAGGTTATATTTTATACATGTTACGGTATTTATGTGCAGATTGGACACTAAGAGATAATTAATTACCTAAATTACCTAAGGTTTAGTACAAGACAAGACCAAGCTTTTATTAAAAAGTCATAATAAAACAGTATCTGATGTTACTGAAAGAGTGAAAAATAATGAGTGACATTTTAAGCACACATTAAATGTGACATACTGAGTTTATATTTGCATATGAATGTTTTGTAGATGCTGCAGGAACAGATACGTGTCAGAGACAATCTCAGCTATGGAACAAATTCTACCCTGAAGAGTCTGGAAATGCGGCAGCTTTCTGGGTTAGGAGATCTTCGGGGAAGAGTTGCAAGGTAAAAGTCAACACGGAAGTATATTTTGGGGACCAGCTAATGCTGTTCAATCTTGAAGTATGAATGTTAATGATAATGGGCTGAATTCCACTTTGGCAAGATTCCCAGGATAATTTTGCTCAGTGAAAATGAATAATAATCCTTTGCATTCCAGTATTACAAATTAAACTTAGGAGTATCACCTTTAATTCCTGAAATTCCTGAAATTAGTTTTTAACAAATAACCTCAAATTCCTTGGGAATTTGGATTTGGTTCAGCTTTAAAAAGTACTATGGTTAGACTCATCTATCTTTGAAACAAATCAATTAGCACAATTATAATGGCAGCATGGAACAATCTGCACTTGTAAAGAACAGAATAGCTGCACATTTTTGCATATATTTTAGAAGTAAAAATCTGTGCATTCAGTTATTGGTTAGCCATATTAAAAACTACATAGGCTACCTGACACGTGAGGCACAGAAAACTATAAAATAATAGAGGTCATACAGGCTGCTTGAAACTCCAGGTTACAATTGTGCAACTACACAGACTTCAGGTTGTGCCATCAATGACATGTTTATAAACTCTACAACCACAACATTTGCTTAAGAGTTTGTGAAGTTGAACACAGAAGACAGAGGATATGTATGTCTATAGAAAAAGGACCTAACCTGGCCTAAACCAGCTTGGCTAATAACTTTGCTGGAATTATGCTTGTCCTGAATTTGACCCACTGTCTATATTTTTGTATTTCAACTGATTTAGTGATAATCTTCAATAGCCTACAAAAATAATCAGGGAGAGATTGTCCTTGAACTACAGTTTTTTCATAAATTATTTGATTGTTTGAAGTTTCCACTGTAACTTTCATAGCCCATTTTGTAAAGAATATTTTAGAGAGGTTTTACATACTTTTTTTTTTTTTAAGTTATGCACTATCCTTCAGTAAAGAGGAATGAACTAGACAAGTTTATTTTGTCAAATCAGAAAATAGATTGAAATATGCAGAGAGCGAGAGATATCTATCTCACAGAGTAATTTACATGCTTGGATATTCCTGCTCCTTTATATAAAAAGTCCACTTTGAGATCATACTACATCCTGAGAGAGGTCCGTATTTGGAGCAACACGGTTACTGACACCCTGTGAAGCAAAGTACAGTGCTGTTGCTTCCCAGAACAGAACCAAAGCGAATGAGGCATGAGCTTCACAAAGGGGCCCTTGCCTGGCTGAGACATGGTACATGGAGCAGTGGTGGACTCTGTCCATTATTTACTTAGGGCAACGCCCTCGTACAGGCCGGGGTTGCAATTTATCTGATAATGTGTGAGATCACGCCAATCTGCCTTATGTCAGGCTGTGCAATGAATGTTGGATACCTGCATTCATTACCGTAAGAGAATTGGTTTATTGTCTTTTAACTGTTACCTTCTATTCAGCATTATGCTCTCTACGTAAACATCTACCCTGAACAAGGAGGAAAATAAGCTTCCCTTTATCAGTTAAAGCAGTGCTCCGTGGGAGAAAGCTCTTTGCCTTAATTTACATATGTATTCTACTTTGAAAATGAGTGTTCCTGTGAATAATGATTATAGTAATATCCGGCAAGTGTGGTCAAGATGCCAGTCTGTTACGCTGTTGGCACTATACAGATACCACAAACTTCCCCTGGGATTAACACTTTCTGATCACTCTAGCCAATACTCCTTATATAAAATAAGCTGAACACACCTAATGTAATTTTACTTTTACATCTAGTCCCGTTAACTTCCAGATGAGTTTAAAGAGGGAAACCTTAGCAACACAACCAAGTTCCTGTGGGCTACCAATTTACTGTACATCAGCTCTCAGCCACAGGCACGGCTCAGGCTCTAGTGACAGCAGGTGAATTTAACTCCAAGCACATCACGTTTGCTCTAGGCTAGAAGTGTGCAGATGGACAATCAGCGTGAAACAGTTCATTATATACGCCGCGTGATAGGAAATCACCTAAGTCTGAGCCTTTTGGTCCTGTAAAAATTTCAGTGTCAGTCTCAGGATTCTGGCCAAATTTCAGTTCCATTATTTACATGCATTACATTACATCCTATTCAACTTCAATATTGGAGAGAGGGATGTTTATTTCCTGCCACCAACTGTTCTGTAACATGTCAATATATCATCGAACAACTGTCTCGTTATTTCTTGAGGGTTGCTGCTTTTAATGGCAAGAACAGGGATCCCTACATGCACATACAGCTCCAAAGCCATGCCACCCATGGGAGCAAGGTTCAGACACACCTCCCAGTTGAGCTCACCTGCATCACAAAGTCACCTAAAATCCCTAGCAGGAGAAGACTGACTACACATCACAGCTCATGTCTCTGGGCCATTTCTCACTAAGCATAAGTTACTGATGAATTTGTGAAGCATCAGTGCAGTGTTCACCATGAATGATGCTGCACATTTTCCTAAGACTCAGCATTATTATTAAGAAAAATATCACCTCTATTAAATTCAGTGACGCGTTCAACTAGATACATGCCGATAGATCCATTACTCCAGCCTCCTGTCAGTGATGTTGGCAATTTATCAGAAAAACATAGATTTATCAAATCTATTTCTCATGATTCAAGATCATAAAACTCATGAGTAATGCCTTATCATTTGTTACAGAATAACTTGTGCATATGATCATTTATCTGGAAAGTTTAAATACAGCAGCCTGGTCAGCGTAGTACAGTCAGTACAGCAGTAGCTGTCTCTAGAAGCTTCCTGGTAGCTGAAACATCCAGAGAAATGGCAACTATGCATGTTCAAACTGGGCCTACTTTGCATATATAGATGATTTTTATATACATTATAGATCTGATTCATTTCAGACACTCTGGACTCATTACGTGTAGGCAGATTTTCCTCCACTGCACAGAAGATGAGTTGGATGCATCTGGGATGCAGTGCATTTATGAAGTTTCCAAGTACAGTAAATCTGCTGCCCCGTGGCTACTTGCCGTGCGGGGGAGGCACACGGGGAGACTGCCCTGGGCTCCCTCATCCAGACTACACAGAATCTACCAGCTCTGATCTTCTTGCCCAGTGCAGCCCCTGGACGTGTCAACTTGCTTTTCACTACTTGTTCTTCAGCCACTTGTTTTTCACCAAAACATTGGTATTTTAACTGAAATATCTCCTCTTATAATAAAACAGGAACATCAAAAATCTGTATGTACCATTAGAGCATATTTATCTAGCAACCTGCTGCGGAGTAGTGGTGTAGTTCTCAGCTTTATCTAGTCCTTGGTGATACTGAATAGAGAAAACATTGTGTTTTCGATTTCTTAGAGATCAAAGAAAACAAAAATATTCTTCAGTGTGCCAGAAGAATAACTACTGCTTTTGCTTACTATGACTTGGAAGGCAGTTGTTTGATAATTTCACTGTTTATATTGAACATTACTAGTTTCTAAAATTATACTGTATTCTGAATCTGAGAATAATACTTAGCACTATGAAATGTCTCCATTTATTCTTCATTTACTAATTTCAGATAAGTACACAGAACTTTCTGAAAATATCCTCCAAAATCAAACAGTAGTAAGAGGAACACATTCTAGTGCATCTTTGCTGCAAATTTCAACAGCACATGCGTGCAACTGCACATGAAACCTCCACTGGGGTGTTCACGTGGCTAGCTTCAGCTTTTCAGAAGGGAATTATTTATTATGCCTTTCTTTGTACAAAATGGTTCTATATACAGCTCTTATATTTTTAAAATAGTACTCTTCCTAGAAATCTTAATCTATATCTCATTTCTTTCCTTGTGCTTTTAAGATGACCAAACCTCAAAAGTTGTTTAACATCTGTCTTTATACCCACTGGCTTTGTTTATATAGACAGTCCAATTAAATCACCCAGGAACTTAAATCCAATGTTCAGAAACATTTAGTTCTATTTTTTAAGAAAAATTCTATTGTCATTTTAACATGAATCTATAAAGAAGTATCAAAGCAGAACTTTCAGAGGTATGGGAAATTCAGTGGGGACTGTAGTGTTCCTGCCCCCCAGCCGTTTCTTTTTTAAACAGGGAAAAGCTTCAAACTATAATGTGGCCTTTTATTTAGATTACTCATTTTCTTCTGAGCCATCACACAGTAGAAACCTGAATCCAAAGTATTAGAAAGCTCACGGTTTTCCATGTGTTCGTCTTATTACCTCCTTCCCCCTCATTTGAAAGCCAGTGGAAGCATGGACTAGAGTTACTCAATTGTTGTAAGTTTTTAACTCAAAATGCTTACTCACGTAAATAACATCAGGATCTCATTCTGTGTCTATAGCACACTATTGGTTTTTTCCATGTCAAAACTAATCAAGTGTTTGCGAGTGCGTACAATATATATAGCAAAGAGACTTCTATTTGACCACTTCAATATATGGAATATTGTTTTGTAAAAAAAACATAGAAGGCTAAACATTCCATAACTACAGACAGTGGAATTTAAACTTTATTCTGACTTTATTTTAAAAAGTGCCAATATGAGCATCCCTGTAGAAAAACGAAATAATCTGATTAATACATACCAGGCTGACACTAAATTAACATAGTCAGAATTGTAACATTTCAGTTACCATGCAACTACATGACCCCTCTGATCACATAACCACATTCCACAAAGAGAGATACACCGTGATTAAACCCAAAACACTAATTTGCTTTAAAAGCCATTACAAATGCCCGCTGTTTACATTTGCTACAGTAGTTTCAAAGCTGTTAGTTTTTATATTTTCTGTTGTGCCTCAGAGAAACAAAACTAAGCATTTTTTTGAGTCCCCGGGTTTTTGGTGATGAGTAGCAAGAGGATTTCATTCCTCTGACTTATCCTGACAACATGCAGAGATTTGGCTTCTCTCATTTTTCTATAGGAACTGCTTGATTGTAAGATGTACAAGTACAGCTCACTGCTATGTAAACCTTAGCTGGTCTTCCTACAGATACTACTAATTGATCTCATAATGCTGAACTGCTAAACTGTAAATTAATTTCTACAAGTTTTATAATTTGTGTTATTTTGCATTACTGATTATTTTCATATTGAAATTGTACTATAACACTAAGCAGATGATCTGTCATTTTAGCTGTTACTTTCCCTCCATATTTAATGATAATGGTAGTTACTGTAACCGAGGTGATGAAAATGCATGTTGAAATGAAAGGCTTCAAACTGAGATGTGACTAAAATGAGGTTAAAACGTATCATTGGTTTAGTTAGCAATTTAACATGCCTTAGCTTGTTCCATTTTACTGCCTTTTTCTCCCTCAAATTCTAACTACTGCCTGTTCTCCATCAGTTTATAGATCAAATTTGGTAACGTTGCAAAAAAATATACATGACTCATACTTCAGAGGTCTTACTCCTGAAATTACAGCACTTACATTTTCACAGCTCAGTTGATGTCCTTATTGTATTACTGTAGGTGAAACCCACCTGGTGAAAGTATTTTTGAAATGTGGTAGAAAATGCACATATTCTATAGCACATTTATCCTGAAAATGTTACAGCATCAAGAAACGTTCCAATGTGAAGAAAGGAAACAATAATTATGTTCCAGAACTGCATTTCATAGTCTTTTGTGAGACAAAATTGCCTTTGCTTTCAATGACAATTTTATCTAAACAAAGACTAATAACTGTAAAATTTGCCCCACATTGTTTACTACATGTATTAATTGTATGCTACTATTTCACAAATAAAAATAAGACTGTAAGACTCAGAGGAACACAGCTACAATAATGGAAAAGTAGTCCTCAATTATTTAGGCTTCTAATCACATAGGTGAAATCACACACACCTTAACAGATGTCTTTTGGAGTATGACAAAAGTACGAAGTATTGAAATTCTGCATCTTTACCTTTCTAATGTGATTTTCCTGACTGATAACAACACAGTCTACACATATTATGTCAGTGCCAAGAAAACAGGAATGTATGTGTCAGAGTGTTTGACTTCTAGTCCCATTTGGGAGCAGTTTGCTGAATTCTATGGGATACATCACCATTCTTACAGTCTCCTAAGACATTGTTTCACTAGACAGCCACCAATTTCACAGAAATGCCGAGTCTAAAATGGATACTTTAGAAAGCTTGGAGTTTATATTCTATTCAGCTGTTGCTTTGGTATTTATTTATTCAAACAGGTGCGATGCTGGGTTAGCCCGACTGTCTGCAGAGCATAAAATTACATATGAAAGACTTCAGAGCCTAAGTAAAGACCAACACACATCCAAGCTGATCTTAGAATCCAAAATCAAAGAGGCAGAAATACAGGTATGGTATTTGGACCAAACCGCTCCACGTATGAGTAACAGTTACATTCTAATTCACACAGGCTCCATTAATGTTAATTGTTATCCTGAGTGGTCACAGATTCACAAATGGAGAGGTGTATCTGCTCACAGTCCTCATTAGATTAAATATTGGTACCCAGCTGCAGTACTGCACTGGTCTAACTGAAAAAGTCCTTAATTTGCTGCCTTTAGCATGCTGTGTAGTAGGGGCTAGTACTTAAAGGCACCTGAAAAGAATCCAGGAATGAATAAAAGTCAGTGATTACTGGCCTGAATGGCTTCTTGAGGTTGGAATGTGAACATGACATGGACACTCTACAGAACTACCACAACCATGCATGCAACCCTGAGTGTTTTGGCCTTCCCAGCATGACTTTATATTTATTTGAACACAATTGCTGAAGGTCTGCAAAACAAAACTGGTTTTGGGTTCTGTGAATCCATTAATCTGTCTGTCAGGTTTCTCTTCTATTGGGTATGAGAATGGAAGACAGCACTGGATACAAGCAGAGATTTATGACATTAAGGAAAAGGATTCTTCATACTTTCATCTCATGGTCTTTCCATTTTCTTGGGCAACAAAAGTATTTTAATTCTTCATTTTGCAGTAGGTAAATGGTTAAAATCCACTTAACCTTTCTCAGAAGACTCAGTACAGTATATTAGACTGCCAGCATTTAAGAAGCATATTGTCATGAATCTTGTAAAATGGAACAGTATGTTTTGTAAAACAGAGATTATTGTTTTGCTGAGAAATATTTTCCCTTAGTAATGACCTATCCCCAGTTAAATCCAGCACTTTTATCCCTTCAGTAATCATTATACATGAAGTGATAAAGAATATCCCTCAGTATTGGTAGAGTGCTTTGCCATTTGTTTACTCTGCTTATGTGGCAACACAGGAATGTATGGATTGTTTAAATTCAGCTGTCTCAAGGGGAGAGGGGGCAGGCAGATGCTTTCAAGGCAAGACTGTTCAAATTATTTATGGGTGAAAAAGTACAGTTTTCACAATGTCAATACTTTCATCTTGTGAGATATTTTTCACAATAAAGTAAAATGTGCAAATTCAGTAATTTTTTAAATGTCAGCAAAAATGTACCTTCTTTAAGATCTTCTCTTCTGTTATGAAAACATCCCAAATGAGATTGTGATGAAATGCTGTTGAGAAATAGTAAATTCTGAATTTTGTTTCAGATTTCTCATCTTCTGAGCAGAGTAGAGCAATCAATAATGCAGCAAGAAGCAAAGCTGAAGATTGCCTACAAAGAGAGCAACCAACAGCTCCATCTTCTGGATACAAAGTGAGTGCCAGGGAAACCCTGCTGCTGCCATGGGAGACAGGGCCCCAGTTTTCCAAGCTTGACTGTTGTAACCTTCAGGTCTACAAAGTCATGAACGTGTTCAAATACGAGTGTGCGTGCAACGGGTGTTAGAAAGGTGTGGGGATATATTCCATGGAGATATTACCTCCTCCCCAGGCATTTCACTCAGTGGCAGTCCTGGCTTAAGCCACCCACACCTGTACTCCTTATTGCTATCCTCCCGCAAGCCCACCGGTTACATCAGTGAAACCGATTGCAAGCCAGATGAAAGAATAGATCCAAATTTCAAATATTCACTGTAAAAAGACTGCCCCAAGAAACAGTTTCACTGGCACAGTTGGTTGGTGTAAACTTGAGGTGGGTATAGGCTTTTATGTACCTCTAAAATAAACGGGTACCAAATCTTTGCTCAGATTCAAGGCCTATGGACACGAAGACTATAATCTGAATGGATGACCATATTCTGTTCTCAATGATGCAAAGAATTTGCACCTACTATGCCTCAAAATGTCATGCTGTGTTTCATATAAATAACTCCTGTTTTGTTGTGCTCTTTTATCTTTATTTTCTAAAACAACATTACTTTATCCAGTTCAGCAGCCTTAAAGTTCAAAGGTTCACCTTATTATCATGTCAAGAATGTATTCAGTTGTCATCAATTATTTTTATGAACACATTCATAAAAAAGTCACTGTTGAATGATGAAAAATTCTGCTCTTTTGTATCTGCTAATTTCTATTATGCTCTTAGATTAAAAAATGCTATTGAGGAACTCAGCAGCCAGATTTTGTCTGCACGTAGCTGGTTGGAACAGGAACATGAAAGGATTGAAAAAGAACTTGCGCAAAAAATCGACCAACTCTCATTGACTTTTAAGGAAAACACTGTAAGTTTCACTAAAAGGTCCTAACAATACTTCTCAGGAAGTATTCAAAAGCATTAGTAATAACTAAGGTGATATAATTAAGATATTATTTGAGTGAGATTTTCAGAACTCCTCAATATTTGTATAACTTTTCACTGATGTCAAGTATAACATCCCTACAGCCTGAGAACCTTCAAATAAATGTGATCACTTCTAAATAGATCAGTCATTTAGCCTACAGTAATCAAGTCAGTTTAAACCATTTAATTTAAAAATTATAATTTCTTACACTTTTGAATTTCACATAAAAGATTATTAATCAATATGGATTGCATGTTTGGGAAAGGCCACTGTAATTTCATATACAGAGTAAATCATTACAATTCTTTTTTCTGGCTCTAGGAAATGAGTGAAAGAGCTATAGAGATGAAATTCAACCAAATGGCAGAGAAAATTGACAAAATGGAAGAAATACAGAAGATAACCATGGAAGCACATGAAGCCAAACAGACTGAAGAAAAGATAAATATTCGCATTGGAAAACTTCAAAATGAGATAAATGAAGATATAAAAGAAATGAAAGCTGAAGTTAATGCCGGTAGGACCATAGTTATCAAGTTTTTTATTCTGAATTGTGGTAACAATGATCAACCTATAATAACGTGCAAAATGCCTTTGCTTGTATCAAAACAGTTTAAAGATTTTTGGGTCAGATCAATGGCTATACCTGTGGCATTAGAAAGGATATTCACTAACAGTGAAGCTCACAGCAACAAGAGGTGACATCTTATTAGCTTGGAAGTGCTCTCTCCAGAGGACACACGGGCACAGCTTGGCTGCCATCGGGGGTGGGTTTTGCCATCAGCACACAATGATAGCCCTATTTGTCTCCAGAACTTTTGCTGCCTTCCTAATGTAGAGCAGAGCATTATGATAGGAAGCACATTGTGGTAGTAATTATGCTTTTTACTCTTGCTTTTGATTATAAACTAATTTAATTTTCACCTGCAATCAGGGTTTGCAGCTATCTATGAGAGCATTGGGTCTCTACGGCAAGTCCTAGAAGCGAAAATGAAGCTGGACAGAGAAGAACTACAGAAGCAGATCCACCAAATGAAGCAGGAGGTTCCAACGTGGGGAGAGGCTGGACCATGACTAGAAGATTTGGTCTGAGAGATTAACGTTTACCTGGCTAAATAGGCAGACTATAATCTTGTTCCAGTCTGCAGTACAAATTAAATGCATGTACCAAATGACATGCTGCTGTTGCACAGGCCCGTACGCTTGCTCAAAGCAGTAAATGCAAGCTCTTCACAGACCAGCTGACACCAAGCTTTTACGGGCTGAGGTGCTCATTTGCCACTGCACTACTCCAGTTGCTCTCAGGAGAATAAGCACCGTGTAAAACTGGAGTAATATATTGGTGAAGCTGGCACCTAATTTGCTAAAGGCATTGCAGTGCTCCCCAGTTTCACACACTTGATCAGGCAGGTGTATGCTTATAGATATATATATAAAAGCACCTGCACACACTCCCCTTTTAAAAAAAAAGCAACCAAAAAACCGAAAAAAACCAACCCACACACAAACAAGGTGGCACCATTTGTTTAGTATCAGTTTGGCAAGGTTCTACACCATGATACAAATTACTTAATTGAAGCCAATGGACATTTTTACAGTGACTTTCTCTACTACTAACTTCCTGGGGAGACAGAATTGGTACTAGACAGACCAATTTTCAAAACCTAGATACCACCAGAACATTTTTGTTCAGTTTTGCAAATATCCTCTGTGTGTGTGTAAACTAAGTAGTGTTATAAAATGTAGTTGTAGACTAAGATGATTCATGAACAACATAAGAAACTTAAATCACGTGGTCTTAAGTATTGTGACCTTTTTAAATTAACAACCAAGTGGAGCTGAGACAAGGTGTATATAGAGTATTTTATAACTGGGCATGTGTTCCTGTGACTTGTTTCATTATATTTGTAAAAACTTTCAAAGGTTTGAAAACAAAAGGGAAGGTGACAATCTAACATAGTCTGAAGAATGTAATGTAAAATAAAATGCAGTTTATAATCTGCTTCGAAATTTTTATGGAAGTAAAACAACTGACTTCAAATTTGAAGTAGAGTTTAATAATTTAGTAGGTTCAAATTGCTAATTGCATTCACAGTATTTCCAAATAATGGTGCTTATTTCCACTCCCAGAACAGATTACATAATGAAAATCAGCACCAATATGGCATATTAATCTAGACAGGAAAATATATATATGTTGATTTTGTATCCTTATTCATAGCTTGATACTGCTCCTCAGTTTGTAAATCCTGCAGGATTAGGCATTTATGAAGAATAAAAGACTTATTCCAGTATCCTATTAATTTATACTACTAACAGTAATTCATATACAAAACCACTAATATTTTATACAATCATTACTGTTAATTTAAATAAATTAATAGGATGTCTCTGCACTGTCTTTAATGGACCTTTCTTCTGGCCAGTATTACAAAACCATATTCCTATTTGGAAAATCAGTGGCCAATTTCTCATCATGTCCCTGAAAGAAGGCTTGGCCCACAGAGTCACCATATTAAAAAAATAAAAATTAGCTCCAAAAACTTAAACTCATTAACTTCAGTAGGATAGCATAGTATGTAAAAATCATAAAAATGCATACATCTTTACAGGGTTAGCACCTAAATATATGTTCATTTCCTAGACAGCTGAAAGTAATTTAATGTATCAAAGATACATAAAGTTTTCGCAACTCTGGCATCCAATGCTCTCTGATAACAAAACTGCCTCTGTTACTCCCATTTTGTATCACCCGTGTGCTGTGAAATATAAGTACAATGGCAGCTAAGGGGAAAGCCCAGTTCAGCAAATGGGACAATGAAATGCTTGCAGATATTTCTTAAGAATTGTCTTAAAAATTTATTCTTTCTTCATGTCTCTATTCTTACCTGTTCTTCAATATTTAGCGATGTGCAGTGGAAAAGCTATCACTGGTGTTTTATAAAAAAAAAAAAGAAAGAAAAGAAAGAAACAAAAAAAGACAGAAAAAATCTAGCATTTCTTTTATTTCTGTAACTGGAAAACTGAGAGAATCTGGTATGATACGAAGGGCATACAAGGAATCTGAGAAATAATTTATATAGGACTTTAATAAAATGTTTATCTGGTAAAAATCTTGTATTATTCATCCAGATACAAAAAACCCATAAAAACCCTACCCAACTTTACTTTTGCTGTTTTGAAAATATTTTTTTTTTTGCTAACTCTCAGCTAAAGCAAATAACTAAAAGGCCCAATATTGAAATGTGAGCTACTGCCAAGCAGCGCCTTCCAGCTGTATCAGTGCTGTGCGGAGGGAGGCGCAGGTTACGGGATTTGTGTGCACAAACAGGGAGCTAGTCCTAGATGGACACACACCAGTGCAGCCTTCCCACCCAGTGCTCTGACTGGGCAGTTGTGGAAGAAGTCACATAGTTCAGACCAAGAGGGTTCTGCAGAGAAACTGAGGAAGAGCCAGAATGGAAAGAGGTAATATGAAGAAAGCCTGAAAAATCTGGAGGAGTAACGGAGGAAGAGAGTAAGTCAGAAAAGTGGAGCAATGGAACAGTAGCTGCAGGGGCAGAGGCAAGGAAGAGTAGCCACCTGCTGATGAAGCACAGAACAGGTTTGAAGATTGTAGAAAGAGCTGAAAGTTACAAACAATATAATATTTAATATAAGACACAGAACCCATTAGGATGGGCACATAGATTGATTTGTCATAATTCACACTTACTCCCCTGCTACACTTTACTCTGCTTCAACAATTGGAAAAATAAGTTCTTTTTGTTTGTTTTCCCTTCAGTTACTTTCCTTTTTTTTTAGCTGGGGGTTTTTTGTTTGGTTGGTTTTGTTTCTTTAAGCCTTCTGCAAAAATAGGTCAACAATGTCTTGTCTGCACAGTCTGTCAGGGAGTCCTCATATCTGACAATTAACAACTGAGTCAAGGAAGAATTAGAGTCCCTCTATCTTTCAATCATCTTAAAGTAGTATGGCCAAATCCTCCCCTCAGGAACAGCACATGCCTAGGGGGATAATTGTGACACCAGGAGGACAGTATTACAGACACAATAGTCTATGAAAGCTTGATTTTTCAAAGCAGAAACTTAATTCTGAAAACTAACCTGCAGAGACCACATGAAACCAAATATAAGGAAATAGCTGTTCTTGAAAGTGGAGCTGCCCCTTTAGCTTTCTTTTTCATGCTGGTCTCCAGTGGCATTCCTGCCGGCCAGTCCTTCAGCAACAGAGAGGGCTGCTGATGGTGGCAGTAATGTGCTTTCTTCACTCAACATCGGTGCCCTACAGATAGTGACTCACAGTGCGAGTACCTATCACAGGGTGCCAGTGCCAGCAAACGAGGAGAGGCAGGGTTCTCCTGGATGACACTCAAGGAAATGGAATGAGACAGTGTATTTGGGAAGTGAAATCCTGAATACATATGAAATACTATTTAAAAGACAAAGCACACTGACATAACCATAAGCTCACTGAAGGAAGGACAGGGACAACCCTTGAGAAACCATCTGCTCCATCCCTCCACTTCAAGACAGGGCCAACTCTACCTAAAATATTTATCACAGTCATTTGTCCAACCTGCTTACAAAAATCTTTCAAGAATAAATTATTGACTAACACAGTCAATTCCAATACTTGAAGAACCTCGCCCTGCCATTCCAATGCCTAACCTAAACAGACTCTTGATAGGTCAAGACATAACGGGCCAAAATCTCAAGCACAGAGGGCACAAAACCTAATTTATTACATTCTTCCCTAGATTTCCATTCATTTTCTAAAGTAACTTTTGTTGTACTGAAGATTCAGATGAAGTTTCACAGCAATCTGTGCCCAATATTTCTTAAACACTTTTCTCCTTCCTACACCTCTAAAAACAAACAAAAACCCTAAAACCACCACCAGCAAAACCCAAGCCAGCCAAAAGCAGACCACTTCCTCTCATGAGGTTTTAAAATCTTTTGTCAGCTATTTAGCATGCATGAGGCTTAAACCACTTTGCAGCAGACCATAATACTCAGTCAGCTATGTTGCCTGAATGACATAGCAAGTGTCCAAGGATAAACTCATTAAAAATTTTTTAACTGGGGTACATGCTTTTTACATTAGCATGTGATAACACAGTAGAACTATCATACTGTGCAGTGCAGGACTTAACTGGAAACGGAATTATGTCAGTAGTTACAGAGCAATTGTATCATTTAGACTCATTAAGCAAACCAAAGTAATGATGCAAGTAAGACATTAAAAGGACGATCCTAACTTCAACATCTAGTTTTTTATGTAGTACTTTTTTATATCACGGATACTTTGTCATCACATAGCGATATAGTTGCATGAGGGGTTTCCACGTTAGAGAAAAATGCTATGAAAGACAATGAACAGCAGTATACTCCTGTAACATCAATTTAAACTGAAATGTAATTTTTTTTCTTCTTTTCTCAATTTCTACATTTCTTGCTCTATATTCTCAAGTCTCAGAGTGTGCTCTGTATCTTTGAATAAAAGTGCTCACTGGACGTGTATTCCAATAATGGAAACGTCTAATGAGATACATGACAAATCAATGAAGCCCTCCTATAGGTAGAGAAGGAATTCCTCCCCACAGCATAAGAAATTCAGAGACAAATTTGAAAGAAAATAATAATAATGTAAATTCGATGCAAGTCCTCTACTGAATTTGCCACAGGGTGTCACTGTTACTCTTGGCAAGTAAGGGAAGATGCTCAATATATCTATGTAATCCATAAATGCATACCACTGCAGTGGGCCTGAAAGTATTAACAATATTATGCATTTTGACAAAAGAAAAAAAAAACAAAGAATACTCTAAAGGCACCGCTCTGTAAAATCCAAATACTCTTGAGTAAAAGCCAAATACTCTTGGGTGTGACCATGATGCTCCTTTAGACAATGCTGAGTGGGGACCAAAGTTCTCCTTTGAGAACAGAACTTTGTCTTTTTCTGTCAACAGAACTTTGGTCAACACAATGCACTCTACCTAAAATATTTATCACAGTCATTTGTCCAACCTGCTTACAAAAATCTTTCAAGAATAAATTATTGACTAACACAGTCAATTCCAATACTTGAAGAACCTCGCCCTGCCATTCCAATGCCTAACCTAAACAGACTCTTGATAGGTCAAGACATAACGGGCCAAAATCTCAAGCACAGAGGGCACAAAACCTAATTTATTACATTCTTCCCTAGATTTCCATTCATTTTCTAAAGTAACTTTTGTTGTACTGAAGATTCAGATGAAGTTTCACAGCAATCTGTGCCCAATATTTCTTAAACACTTTTCTCCTTCCTACACCTCTAAAAACAAACAAAAACCCTAAAACCACCACCAGCAAAACCCAAGCCAGCCAAAAGCAGACCACTTCCTCTCATGAGGTTTTAAAATCTTTTGTCAGCTATTTAGCATGCATGAGGCTTAAACCACTTTGCAGCAGACCATAATACTCAGTCAGCTATGTTGCCTGAATGACATAGCAAGTGTCCAAGGATAAACTCATTAAAAATTTTTTAACTGGGGTACATGCTTTTTACATTAGCATGTGATAACACAGTAGAACTATCATACTGTGCAGTGCAGGACTTAACTGGAAACGGAATTATGTCAGTAGTTACAGAGCAATTGTATCATTTAGACTCATTAAGCAAACCAAAGTAATGATGCAAGTAAGACATTAAAAGGACGATCCTAACTTCAACATCTAGTTTTTTATGTAGTACTTTTTTATATCACGGATACTTTGTCATCACATAGCGATATAGTTGCATGAGGGGTTTCCACGTTAGAGAAAAATGCTATGAAAGACAATGAACAGCAGTATACTCCTGTAACATCAATTTAAACTGAAATGTAATTTTTTTTCTTCTTTTCTCAATTTCTACATTTCTTGCTCTATATTCTCAAGTCTCAGAGTGTGCTCTGTATCTTTGAATAAAAGTGCTCACTGGACGTGTATTCCAATAATGGAAACGTCTAATGAGATACATGACAAATCAATGAAGCCCTCCTATAGGTAGAGAAGGAATTCCTCCCCACAGCATAAGAAATTCAGAGACAAATTTGAAAGAAAATAATAATAATGTAAATTCGATGCAAGTCCTCTACTGAATTTGCCACAGGGTGTCACTGTTACTCTTGGCAAGTAAGGGAAGATGCTCAATATATCTATGTAATCCATAAATGCATACCACTGCAGTGGGCCTGAAAGTATTAACAATATTATGCATTTTGACAAAAGAAAAAAAAAACAAAGAATACTCTAAAGGCACCGCTCTGTAAAATCCAAATACTCTTGAGTAAAAGCCAAATACTCTTGGGTGTGACCATGATGCTCCTTTAGACAATGCTGAGTGGGGACCAAAGTTCTCCTTTGAGAACAGA